ACCAGAGCTGCGCCACCAGCAGCTCCCAGCTGAGCTGACCTGATCTCCACGGACACTGGAACCCCAGACTAGACACAGGAGCCTCAAACTGGACACAGGAACCTCCAAACTGGACACTGGAACCCCAAACTGGAAACAGGAACCCCAGACTGGAAACAGGAACCCCAAACTGGACACAGGAACCTCCAAACTGGACACAGGAGCCCCAGACTGGACACAGGAGCCCCAAACTGGACACAGGAACCTCCAAACTGGACACAGGAACCTCCAAACTGGACACAGGAGCCCCAGACTGGACACAGGAGCCCCAGACTGGACACAGGAGCCCCAAACTGGACACTGGAACCCCAAACTGGACACAGGAGCCTCAAACTGGACACAGGAACCTCCAAACTGGACACAGGAGCCCCAGACTGGACACAGGAGCCCCAAACTGGACACAGGAACCTCCAAACTGGACACAGGAGCCCCAGACTGGACACAGGAGCCCCAGACTAGACATAGGAGCCCCAAACTGGACACAGGAGCCCCAGACTGGACACAGGAGCCCCATGTTTATCGCCCCCTCCCAAAGCAGCCCCAGAAGGAGAGGGAACCGAGGCCAGCTGCTGCCCCAGGGCTGATGAAGGCGTTGGGGCCGTGCTGGCCCTGCCTGACCCTGGGAAGGAACTCGGGGTGTTTTCCTCGGCCCTGGCTCTCTGCTCACCCTCAGTGCCACGGGGGGCTGGGATGAGGTTTATCCCTGGATACAGGTTCTCCTGGGATGGGAGGACTGCAGCCCTTGCTGGGTGTCTGCTGGCCCTGAGCTCAGAATCCCCCAGCCCCAATTCCCTGGTTCCCTTCTCCCACTCCCTGTGTTCTGGCTGGAATGCAGCAGCTGCCCAAGCCCAGCCCCAGGAACCAGATCCCGTTTATTTTATTGCCCTTTTTCCTGATTTGACCTGTGAAGGTCATCTCCTCCATCTCCTGGGAACACACTGCAATTCCCACCATTCCCCCTCAGGAGCAGCCCCTGGAGAAGCAGAGGGTGCGAGGGATGAGCTTCTGCCTGCCCCAGCTCCACCTGCACCCCCTGCTCCCCCTCACTGCCTCCCACCCCTCCCAAATCCCTCACTCCAGCACTGCCAATGTGCCAGTCCTGGGGGCAGCTCCCAAACCGGGACCCATCCCTGGAGAGCCCCTGGAACTCAGCAGGAGCAGGGCAGGGTCAGGAGAGCTCCTGGAGCTCAGCAGGACCAGGACAGGAGATGCTGGAGAGCCCCTGGAGCTCAGCAGGAACAGGGCAGGAGATGCTGGAGCTCAGCAGGACCAGGACAGGAGATGCTGGAGAGCTCCTGGAGCTGAGCAGGAACAGGGCAGGAGATGCTGGAGAGCTCCTGGAGCTGAGCAGGAGCAGGGCAGGAGATGCTGGAGAGCCCCTGGAGCTCAGCAGGAGCAGGGCAGGAGATGCTGGAGCTCAGCAGGACCAGGACAGGAGATGCTGGAGAGCTCCTGGAGCTGAGCAGGAGCAGGGCAGGAGATGCTGGAGAGCTCCTGGCGCTCAGCAGGAGCAGGGCAGGGTCAGGAGAGCTCCTGGAGCTCAGCAGGAGCAGGGCAGGAGCTCCTGGAGCTCAGCAGGAGCAGGGCAGGGTCAGGAGAGCCCCTGGAGCTCAGCAGGAGCAGGGCAGGGTCAGGAGAGCTCCTGGAGCTCAGCAGGAGCAGGGCAGGGTCAGGAGAGCTCCTGGAGCTCAGCAGGAGCAGGGCAGGAGCTCCTGGAGCTCAGCAGGAGCAGGGCAGGGTCAGGAGCTGCTCTGCTCCCCCAGGGCCCTCAGTTACTGCCAGAGCTTCTGCCCTGGGATGTTCTCCAGCCTGGGATCTGGGCACGGATCAGCCCTGGGCCCTGGCACGAGGTGCAGGAGCTCAGCCAGAGGCAGGAACAGCCCCAGGAATGGGATCAGGATGGGGCTGGGAGCAGTCTGGGATAACGGGAGGTGTCAGGGATGAGATGGGCTTTGAGGTCCCTTCCCAGCCAAAGCACTCCAGCATTTCACCATTCCGTGCCTCAGAACGCCAGGAACCGACTGCAGGAAGAGATTTCCCTGGATCTGCCTGGCCTGGTTCCATCCCAAATCCCACTGGAAAGGGACTCCAGGCACCATCAGGACATTGGGATTTGTCCTGCCCAGGAACAGGAGCCCTTCCCAAAGGGCTCAGCCACCCCAGCAGGATGGAGCTGCCTCTCCAGGCACTGCCCTGCCCACAGGAGCACTTCCCTGGTAAAACCTGGATGAATTCCTGACAGAATACACCTGACAGGAACATCCCCCACCTCCACGAGATAACTGGTGTCTCATCCAATGCTTCCAAAAGCCATTTTTGGCCAAGGATCCCTGCTGCAGTCTGTGACAGCGAGGACACTGCTCTGGATCTGGGATATCCGGCACCCACAGCTGCTTTTCCATGCAAATACTGCTCAGGATTTGGCTTTCTGGGGGTGTGCAGGCAGGAGCTGGGGCTCTGCTGTGAGCAGAAGCTGGATTTTCATTATGCACTCCCAGCCTGTGCTATCCCAGCTTTATTCCAAGTGGGAATTCCCTGCTGGATTCTGGGCTAAGGAGGGGGATGATCACTCCCCAGAGCCAGGAACACTGACAATGAAAGGGATCTCTGGAAAATCCAGACAATCCTGCTCTTCTCCCCTGCTCCCATCCTGGGAAGGTTGGGACTGGGACAGGCTGGAAGCCTGAATTCCCAGCTGGCAGAGCTCAGCAGAGCCAGCAGTGACTGGCCAGCCTTCTCCAGGCTCAGCATTCCACGGCATTCCCAGCACACGCTGAGGCTTCCTGGCTTTTCCTTCTGCAGGAGCCCAGCCCCAGCCAAGCTCCTGCTCCCAGGGAAACTCCCAATCCATTGGCTTTGGGAGCTCCAGGCCACTTCAGTTCCCCACCCCTGAGGTGTGATCCTCATTCCCAGGGCACTGGAGGAAAACCAGGAGGGACAAAGCCAGAGCTCGGAGCTGGCAGAGGCCAGAGGGGTTAGGCTGGACTCAACCCAGTGGTGTGAGCTGGAACCAAAAAATGGGTCAGCCTGGAGGGGAGAAGGATCCAGGGAGAGCTCAGAGCCCCTTGCAGGGCCCAAAGGGGCTCCAGGAGAGCTGGGGAGGGACTGGGGACAAGGGCTGGAGGGCCAGGAGCCAGGGAATGGCTGCCAGTGCCAGAGGGCAGGGCTGGATGGGATTTGGGGCAGGAATTGTTCCCTGGCAGGGTGGGCAGGCCCTGGCACAGGGTGCCCAGAGCAGCTGGGGCTGCCCCTGGATCCCTGGCAGTGCCCAAGGCCAGGCTGGACAGGGCTTGGATCAAGCTGCTGCTGCCTGCCATAGAAAGTGGTGGATTAGCAAAGATTTCCCTCCAATCCAGCTAAAAAAGAGATTTCTGGAATTTACAAACCCATGAATTCCACATAATTTGTATTTTTTTTTACAAGGGGTTTTGATAACTTGTAGATATGTATTCCATTCTGAAAATGACCATTTTCCACATCCACACTTTCCCTAGTGAGTTGCAAACTGCTCCCAAGGGGATCTCCAGCAGGTGACAGTCCCTGTGCTGGCAGGACAGGCACATTCCTTATTTATTGCAGCTGCTGGAAGGGCTAAACCTGGGTTTGGAGGTGTTTGCAGGGAAGAGGCAGCTCTGAGGCCAAGCCAAGGCACAAGGAATTGCTGTTCCCAGCTGAGGATGTCCCTGAAATACCCAATAGCTCAGTCTGACCCACACAGACCAAATTTCAGCCATTTCCACAGGACATTTTAAACTCCACGTTAAATTCAAAGCTTCTTCTGACTGAGCAGGGAAAATGGGTTTGGGTGGAAAATGAAGGTTTTGGTGAGGAGCCTGCTCCGAGAGCTGCTGGGGAAGGGGAGGAAGGAGGTGCAGGATCCCTTCCCCACTGCAATCCTGCTGGATCATCCTTACCCCCCTGGATCATCCCTTCCTCTATGGAGCATCCCTTTCCCCCTGGATCATCCCTTTCCCCCTGGATCATCCCTTCCCCTCTGGATCATCCCTTCCCC